CTTAACCAAGAAAGATGAAGAATTCTCTTGGACCTTCGAACACGAGGAAGCTTTTAACAAGCTGAAGCGTATCTTCACCTCCTCCCCCATACTCCAAATTCCCGATAAAAACTCACCATTCGCTATAGCCACTGACGCCTCCCTCTATGCTACTGGCGCAGTACTCCTTCAGAAAAACAATAATGGAGATTGGCTCCCATGCTCCTTCCTCTCACAGTCCTTTAACCCCGCTGAACGTAATTATAAGATCTACGATCGAGAATTACTTGCTATCGTCTGCACTTTGAAAGCGTGGAGGCATTATCTCCTTGGATCTCCATATCCAGTTACCGTTCAGACTGACCACAAGAACCTTACTTATTTCAGAGACGTACAAGACTTGAACAGATGCCAAGCAAGATGGCAAACCTTCCTTTCCCAGTTCGAACTTCAGATCCAACATGTACCAGGAAAAGAACTCATTATTCCAGACTTACTCTCCCATAGAACGGATTACCTTCCAGTCGATAGTGATGAAAAGGACAATACTAGTATTCAACTCCTTCCCAATTCAAGGTTTATTAACGTCATTGACAATTCCTTTACGGACAGATTACGTATATCATCTTCCATTGACCCTGTAGTACACACTGCGCTTCAAGTGCTCACAGACTCCTCGATCCCTCCTCCTCTCTGTTCTGCTCTTTCCGACTGGAAATTGAGCGACAGAATTCTTTCTTTTAAAGGACTCACTTACATACCACCTGGAGATCTCCAGCGAGAACTCACTTCCCTACACCACGACTCCCCCACTGCTGGACACCCTGGACGATTCAAAACCCAGGAACTCCTTTCTTGTGACTACTGGTGGCCCAGTCTAGCCACCTTCGTCAAAAACTTTGTAGAAGGCTGTTGCATCTGCCAACAGAATAAAGTAAACACGCACCCTTCTACCCTGCCACTCCACCCAATTCCCACTCCTATTTCCAACCAACCCTTCACTCATTGCTCAGTGGATCTCATCACGGACTTACCTCTTTCCGATGGCTTTGACAGCATCATGGTCATGGTCAACCACGGACTTTCGAAGGGGGTAGTTTTCACTCCTTGTCTCAAAACGATAGATGCTGAAGGTGTCGCAAACATTTTCTTCTCTAAAGTTTTCTCTAGATACAGACTATACGATAAAATTATCTCTGACTGCGGACCTCAGTTCACTTCCAGATTCCAGATCAAACTCGGAAAACTCCTTGGATATAAGAACTCCCTTTCCACCGCCTTTCACCCTCAGAGTGATGGAGAAACTGAACGAGTTAATCAAGAACTCGAAGTTTACCTCCGGATCTTCTGCGCTAATGATCAAACCGGTTGGGCGCCCATGTTGCCATTAGCTGAATTCGTTCATAATTCGCGCCACCATTCCACATGTGGTACCTCCCCCTTTTACCTCATGATGGGTTACCATCCATGACATCTTCCTGACTCCCACCTGAAATCCAACATTCCCAATATCGAACAACGACTCTCATTACTCAATAAAGCACGTGATGAGGCGCTAGCCGCTCATGAACTCGCACATAACACTATGCATCAACGAATTACGTCTAAATGCATACCATTCTCTAAAGGAGACAAAGTTTGGCTTGAAGCCAAAAATCTTCATCTAGGATATCCTAACCGGAAACTCGCTCCAAAACACGAAGGACCATTCACTATCATTGATGTATTATCCCCAATAACTTATCAACTCACATTACCCATGCAATGGCGCATTCATCCAGTATTCCATGCCACACTCCTTTCTCCTTATAAAGAGAATGATACCCATGGCCCTAATTATATTCCGCCTCCCCCTGACTTGGTCAATGGCGAAGAAGAACACAAAGTTGAAGCGGTCGTCGGACACCGCAGATCTTCATCTTGAAGACAATATTATGTAAAATGGAAGGGATTCCCAAGTTCCGAGAATGAATGGATGAAGGAAGCAGAACTAGGTAATGCTTCCGAACTTCTTACTAATTATAAACGATCGCATTGTCTTCTTTGATAGTAGTCAGTGCCTACTACCCTTACAATGGGGGTAATGTTACGGTTCTACTCTTTTCACCTCTTCACTTATTCACATTCTATTGTACAATTCTCTTTTCTCTTTTCTGATTCATTATTTACTTTCAAATCTCCGATTCATTTATTAAAGCTCCGCTTTAATCCCCTTATATATACTCTATCTCTTACACTTGTATTCTTTAACTTGACCTACACAGACCAGGGCCTGCAATATACTGCTTAACTTGCATGACTCGTACATAGGTGTATGCTGAGATCATTTGTTTTTGTCTAAGTCGTTCTTATGAATGCCGAGCGTAACAGAGAGGGTGTATTTGCTTCACTACAAGCTTCATACCAGATTTCATCAAGTAATGATAGGTTGTTTGAGAGGACATAGGCTGGTTCTTGATATCCTGAAGTGCTCTTGTGACTTGAGTGACATTTTTAGCCTTGTCTGTACTGATTACCCAAATAGCATGCTGAATATTGGGAGAGGAAAGGACAGAAGGACAACCACCAGAGGACTTTTGAAGGTCATAATGAAGTTCTGAGTGAATTCTGATAATGGTACTATGGTGTACACTAGTAGCATGTGAGATCTCCCTTGTAGATTGGTTAAAATCAAGGTAAAAAAGGATTTGGTTGGTTTTGTCAGCAGAGAGGGCTTTCATGATGATGAATGTTGAGAAAGTTCACCATTTGGCTTTGTTTATATCATATTGACCCTTTTACATGTCACATAACATTATAAGACATACTAAATAACATAACTGATGTCTATTGATAGGATTTTGATGTTTAAAAATATCAGCAACAAAACCATTGCAATGCATACCATGTAGTAAATTGCTTATATCCTTTTAAGGAAATGTTTTCACATCTCCAGTGTAGTACAACTATTGTAGCCTGGATGTAGGGCTACAATATTGCTCTTATCCACATTTGCATAGCTGCCATCCCTGTAATGATATAGCCAGAGTAATCAATCTCATACAAACATTGCAACAGTTTTGTTGCTTACTGTACAGATGAAGTTCAGTGCCGGAAGAGTTGCCGGCTTAAACACAGTACTTTCTGGACTGCAGGTCTTCATGACATTTGGGTGTTTGACCAGCATGACAAGTGGCGTCATTTTCAGCTCTTCCTACATGTTGGTATCAAGCTGTTCTCAGGGCGAGTCCTCTGGCTCAAGGTTTGGTGGACTAATCACAATCCGCACTTGATCTGTGGATGGTATTGTGACACAGTCCAAAGCCTTGGAGGTAATTATTTATGTCTGGTCTCAATTGTCAATCTAGTAATGCAATCATTCAAGCTATGCCTCTTGTTACCCAAAGCGACCCCAGCACAGAGAACAATGGGATTGCAAATGGTCACACCATGCTTCGTCATCTTCAAGATCCAGGTCTGGCACACACCCTGCAGCACAAGTTCAGAGGCGACCATTGCAATATAAAGCCAGAAATTTTCTGGAGTCAATTGTGCCATTGCTGGACACCAGGTTTCGAAGATATTCTTGATTTTGGTTTGAGTGCAGGTATCTATAACCCAGATGATGCACTGGAAAGGTTCTTCTTTTATGTCTTCAATAACTTCTTGCACTAATGCTGTGTGGAACATAGACTTGTATTTCACTTTATTTTCATTCTGTGGCTCCAGCATGAGCTCAATCTTTTTGCTGATAAGTTCAACAATACCAAGCCCCACTTCAATATGCACAAAATACTACTACATGGTCGCCCCAATGATATCTTCGATTTCCCTGAGAAATTTGATTGTTGGGACTTCTCTGTAAGCCGTTAGACACATTCTTGTCAATATATTAATGTTTTGCAGGTGATTGTGGATAATTCATCACTTGAGCAGGTCTGGAAAACATATGCTCCTTCTGATCACCCCATTTTTCTCTTGGTACCTCAGGAATTCTCCCAGAAGGCTACAGCATTCATGTCCAAGCTTGGTCATACTGTACTGACTTGTGACAATATCTGGGATGTATATGCAAATCTTCTCATGTGCTTCTGAGCCATTGAAGATGAGGATCCAATTTGAAGTGTCATCACTGCACAGCCAAAAATCCTGTGCAACAGTGAAAAACTAATTGGGTCTGAGGAGATGGATGTTCTGGATTTACCACTATTTGTTGAAGGGGCTGGATATCATGCACCTGCTGGTGAATCTGTGGCAGTCAACTCATCAGATGAAGAGTCTGACTTCTACGAGTTTGCCTGGACAGATGAGGAGGAAAGTTAGATCTGGCAACTCGAGTAGTGTAGATCAACCACTGTCTTGTCATACTTTGAGAATCACACTTTGAAAGAACAACTGCAAATCACTTGGACCATTATATCTCTAACATGGTTGAAAAGCCCCCAGCATCCCTCATTCATCCTCTGAATCCACTGTCTCTATAGTATACCTCTGATTCATACCATGGCAGACTTTACCCCCATAAATGCAAATAGCTGGAGACTTTGTCAGTGTTGCAATACACGTTTCAAATCAACTGTACAATTTACATATGTGCATGGTAAAGACAGCTCAGGCCATACATGTTGCCCAAGCTGTGCAAAGCATTATGAGGGACATAAAGCTATAGAACAGGCTTGATGCCAGCAAGCTACAAGCATTGGTGAGTCCAACTTTGATGAGTCTGAGTCCAATACTAACCAAATTCATTATCATTCATATCACAGGCTTCACAGCTGCTCAGCCTGCTGTTGAGCCCTCAAGACATGAGCTGGTAAAAGCAATGTCAGCAGTGCAACATGGAGGTTTGTCATATGAGGGCTTCTGGTTTGTGTACAAAGCTCAATGGTATTATCTTCCAACCTATAGACAACATCTTTCCCAGTCAGCACTTCAGCCATCCAGCCTACACACTGGCAGGTGATCATGGAAAAATGCTTCCTCCTCCAGTTCCTGCACATGTGAGCATGGGATATATACCCAATCATGCCATGCACCGCCTGTATCACAGCAAGATGGCTCAGGCTGCATCATCAGGGCACTTCCATCAAGTCATGATTCAGGTTGCCTTACATCACCTGAAACCAGAGGGAAAGTCGGGCACTGTGTTAGTTGGTGTAGGTTATATCAATTCTAACTGGTGCTGTTCTTGACTTATGAAATTTACAGAATATTGAACGTGATGTGCATGTTGCACTCAACATCACCCTAGCTCAGCTTCAGTCTGAGGTAATCAACCAGCTTGAACCATTATGGATAGAGTGGTCACACAGCCATGCTCTGTCCCTCTACAGCCTGGAGATGCACAAATCGCTGAAGATGATTCTTTATGACCCAAGGCAACCATCCATTGGTGCTAATGAACCAGTTCTACAAGAATTTTTCATGCATGCAACGCCCAAGGATCCCACACACAAATTTTATGCAAATGCTTGTGTCACCATCCTTCTTGTAATGACAAATGCACAGTTCGAGGATGTGTTACTCTGGCAAGAGCAATGTGTCAATGTAGGTCTTTTCTTCATGTTTTCAGTGATGTGTTTTACACTTAGCTCAATCTCACAGAACATTGTACCGAGTGTCGATGTTGATGTACAAAATGCACTAGCATCAGCATCTAGTATCCCCACAAAGAAAAAGGTACTGTGAAGTCGAGGTAGCAGCAATGATTCCAGTCCATCACCACCATGCCGCCCTGCACACAAATGCTCCAGGAAGGTAAGTTGAGGCACTTGTATATTGGCAGGTCTAACTATATTTGATACCACAGTGCTCACCTTCGGCTGTCCAGTTTCTGATATCTGAAATTAGCAAGGTCCTGGTAGGCAATGACTTGGATGTCTCAAAGCAATTTGATGTCTGTGGTGGCCCTTCAAATCTGGAAGAGTTGCAACCTGTCTTGGCTGCAAGCACTTGCATATCAAAACAACTCTTCTTACCCAGTCAATCTCAGCTACAAGCGGCCATGAAAGCTCAGGGAAATGTACAAAAACAAGCCTCCTCTACTATAGGTATGTGCCTTGAACTGTTAGAATCAGTCAACTAGCTCACATTATGTGATGACAGGTGCTGGATGTATCCCTATCACCTTTTGTCTCTACAACATCCCTTCTATTGGCTTTGCAGAGCTCATTTCTATGCCATTCAGTACTGCTGACAGCAAGTACACTGTTGCCACACTCACCATCGACACCAGCTCCAAATCTATGATTGGTTTGGCAGGAAGCTTCAAAACATGTCACCCTGTCTTAACTTCGAACACAGGTGGAAACCCATCCACATCTACATCACTACCACTGTCAGTTCTGTTGGTCAAGCAACTTGTGGCTAAATGTGTGTTCTTTCAGAAGGGCCAAAGCATGGGACATTGCTGCTTTGCAAGGGAGGATGAACTGGAAAAGACCCTTGACAAGGTGAACTGCCTTTACTGGGGCACATCCTTACTCAGTATGGCCTATACCTTTGTTGACGAGATGCTCAAGATGGGCAATGTGAGCCAAGATATTGAGGTTGAGTTACCATGTCTAAGGCTGGTTTGTGCGGCACTAGCCATTCCCGATGACCCCAACAATGACCTTGGTGCAAACTATCTTGTCAAGGAGCAGATTAGCAGAAAATTTGTCAAGTACATCAACAACAACTCCACCATCCCCACCCATAGTCTAGAGGGCAGAGAAGCAGTCATTGGATTGTTTTTATGCTTCATGCAACATGTCCAGTATCACCTTACTAACAACATGGTTTACCTGTCTGATTTCCAGGGTGAGTGCTCAACCCCTCACCTGACTGTCACCCACAGCTAACAGACTGTACTTGGCATAGGTTCTGGTAACCTCCTTACCGATTGTCAAGTCTCAACAGAGTTGTGAGTTTGTGCTACTACTAAGCCTTGGACCATCACACTAACACAAGTATCCAGGGCTTTCATGAACAATTTTGGTGGAGGAAACTGCATATCTGCTTTTAACAGTTTCAGGTCCACACATAAATGTAATAAGTTCTGTCACACCTTTGGCTTGCAACCTTTTGATACCTAGAGTTTTAGTACTTGGCACTATCATTCTTACTGTATATCTGTGCCAATGATTATTCTTGTTCCCTCATGCTGAGGTGATCCTCATAGTATGAACCCTATGTTACTTGTTCAATTGAAAATGTCTGATCAATTTGATGACTGAATCCTGAGTCTGAGTGCAAGCTTATGATGACCAAAGTCAATGGTGTCCATTGTTCAGCATCAGGAGTCCTCAAATGGGTTTGGATGGGTACAGGGTAAACCCATGGGTGTATATTCAAATTAGACTACTAGACAAAAGGATCATGCATGTGGTCTGAGCAGACTCCGCCAAATGGGAGAATAGGGATAAAGTATCTAAAACCGCAAGTGTGGTCTAAGCAGAGTCATGACCAAACAACAGTAATAGGAAATGTAAACTCACATGGTGCAAGACAAAGCAAGTGGAGAGTTGATTTGCAAGTTTATTTAATGAGGATGACCAATCTGTGTGACCAACCAGGTGCAAATCCAGCACTTCCCTGTGAGGTGCAGGGATCAGTCAAGGATGTACAACAATCTAGATAGAAAATGAGCAAAAAAAATGGTTGAAATAGGTGGAGGTGGTGGAAGGGGAAGTGGTGCTCCACTACTCAGTCTCAGGGCAAGGATGGGCCATACCAGACTTCATAGGGAGGGGAGTTTAAGCAAACCAAAAAGGACACTGACTGAAAGGAAACACCTTCATATCCAGTGGAGCAGTCAGAAATCAAAGAAATAAGAAGTTTAAAGTCCAACCAGAGTTCAGGGCCATCATCTGCAGGCAGGAGCCTCCAGAAGGGATTAAACTGGATCAAGAGAAAGAGGAAATGAACTAAAATTAGACAACAACTGAGGACAGTGAAGAACATGATCACGTGGCCTCAACCTATCACAAAGTCACTCTACTAGTAGTAGAATATAACTAGGTATACATTAAATAAATTTGAAGAAAGGATAATACTGAAACCAAATACCGATCGGACATTGAAAATCCGTGCGGCATCCCGGGAAGTCGAAGTGTAACCAAACATCCACCATAACAACCAACATAAGTCGACGAGTCTGCTACCCATGCTCAGTCATTAAGAAGCAACTACCACACAAGTGATCGCCGCTGCTCCACATTTGAAATATTCCCCGAAGCATGTTCATCTTGGTAATTGTTACTTCTCCACGGTATGCTAAGTTTTCATCTGTCGCAAGAATATTCCGAAGAGGCTGGAACCCTTATTCTGATGCTTCGGGGAATCCATGCGCTACTCGTAAACGCTAGCCAGCGTCAAGAAAGTCGTAAGATCTAAGAGCTTGTACTACTTCACGTATTAAAATCTGAAGCGGAGGACTTTGAGAGTAGTGTTGGCATTTCACTCTACTATTCAGGCTGATTGGTGCTGACTTACAGGTGGGAAACTGCTAGGATATCGCCACTGGGGATGGTCGCTTCACAGTCGACAATCCACGACCCGGAAAAGAAGCAGAACGAGGTTCAGATCCAAAAGGCGATTACAAAGTGCACTACTTAAGTTAAAGGATGTACTGCATTTTGCTCATCCTCCGCGTCATGATTCGACACTATATATTCTTGTGCGTCCTGACAAGTTGCGCCGTTACTATTGGCCCGGTTGCTGACCTAGTCATTGTAAATGCTCAAGTGTCTCCCGACGGATTTGTCAAGTCGTCAGTTTCGAGTGTATTTTTCATCCTACTTGATTACTGAGATCATTGCAGGGCGGTTCTTGCTGGTGACACACTCCCCGGGCCTATTATCACGGGTCAGAAAGTGAGACTACTTTATGTATACAAATCCTCTGATCTCATGTGTTTTTTAAAGGGCGACACGTTCAAAATTAACGTCACCAATCATTTAAATGACGAAACAATGCTCACAGGTACCAGCATCGTAAGCACCAACTAGTTGAAACATAGGGACGTCCAATGATAGTCTACCCTGAACAGCACTGGCATGGACTATTCCAGCGCCATAGCAATCAAATGGATGGCACAGCATTTGTGACGCAATGCCCGATCTCTCCTGGTCATTCTTTTCTGTACGAGTTCAATACCGGCGATCAAGTAGGAACCTACTGGTACCACTCTCATTATGGAGTTCGTGTTCTGATTTATACACTTACAACCGATCACTGAGTTGAATTTAGTACTGTGACGGTTTACGAGGTGCACTAATCATCTATGACCCACACGATCCATACCGCTTCTTGTACGATATTGACAATGGTCAGTGAGCCAGGCAAAGTGGAATTTCGGTCCTGACACCTAAGTAAAGAATCTACCATAATCACGCTGATGGACTGGTGAGCTAAAGTCAACGGTTCTTTCACATGGAGTCCAGAGACAGGCGGTCCCAGACTCTGCTTATCAACGGTATCGGGAATTATCCAGGCGGACCAGATACGTCTTACGCCGTCATTCACGTTCAGCCATACAAGCGATATCGATTCCGCTTACTAAACATGGCGTGCAAGCCCAACTATATTTTCTCCATCGATCACCATAAGCTTATCATAATCGAAGCTGATGGTCAATACGTCGAATCGCTCGTGGTCGACTCTATCCAGATCTACGCCGCGCAGAGGTACTCCTTCATTCTTGAAACAAGCCGGCCTGTCGACAACTATTGGGTGCATGCAGTCCCCAACTTAGGTACAAGCTCCAGGGCTATCTTACGATATGTAGGCTCTCCCGATGTGAACCCCAAGATCAGGATAACTCCAAACCCAGTCGCTCTACAGGAGACTGACCTACACCCATCGTATCCACCTCTGCCAATATTGCTTCAGGAAGATGGCGCAGACGTCAAGCTCAACATTGTTCTTGGAAAAAATGCGACCAGTTTCAACTTTCTCATCAACGGCGTGCAGTACACTTCTCCTAGTATCCCTATCCTACTGCAGTTGCTGAACGGTGATATATCGGCTTCGGAAATGGCACCCAATGACTCCATATATTCTCTACCAAGGAATAAGGTTATCGAGATTTCATGGATTCCTGGTTTTCCCCAGGCCGCCCTGTAAGTCCCAAAATATCATATACTTGCATGCCCTCAACTGAAATTCTAACAGCATCCATTTCACCTGCATGGGGTACATCTCTACATGTCGTCTATGCACATCCCGTACTAATAAACGATTCTTAGCACAAATTCGCTGTCATCAGAAGTGCTGGCAGTAGCAGATACAACTACGTCAACCCCGTGTTGCGCGATACCGTGAACACTGGTTTTCTTGGTGACTACGTGACTATCCGCTTCATCACCGATAATCCTGGGCCGTGGTTGTTGCACTGGTAAGTATCGTTCTTGATAACTCATCGCAAATGATGTTGATGCTTTGGGACTTTTGTGTAGCATCTATACACGTGAGACTCGAGTTGCTTGTCCCTTTTACCGAGCCTGAATGGGTTTTTGATTTATATGACCACAGCGGGATGGCTTTGGTATTTGCAGAGG